AAGGTGATTCTGGCATCGATTCCAAGCGCCAAAGCTGCCAAGAGTTTTCGAGTGTTTCCGGAGCCGTGCTGCCGCACTTTGAAGGAGTCTCGAGGTCCGGTACTAAAAATCAGATCATATAAATCTTAGTGTTACGCTTTATTCCGACGTATAATAACCGATATAACACTTACCCTGAAGGCATCCAACTGGAATTTAGGGTCTCGCAAGTGATCCGTGCTTTCCCATCGAGCAATTATCGGGTTCGGCTGCGACAAGTACAGGTTCATAGATTCCCTCAAGTAGTTCCATGTGACTGAAAGCGTACCACCTTGGAACTTGTCTTTGTATTGCTTCAATAGATCCGCTGCTACCTATAGACCCCATTGAAAAGTCTCATGAAATTTTAATCTAAAAGCAAATTCAATGTTGAATTTATTAGGGGATTTGTCGGAAACCTGTTGCAGAAGTACTGTGTTGTCTCCTTCGAATGTCTGGAAAATGTCGTGATCGTTTCTCAAGCTGCCGATCCGGTTGACAGCAGCGTATCCGTGGCCTCCGCAGGCTTCCCTGCAGGTACCTAATGACTTTGCAGTATATGATGTTACATAAGCCTTCAGTCCAGCAGAAAGCGCATGGACATCGGCAACAAGTTGTTCATCATGAATCTTCTTCATCTCTGAATACTTCTCCACCAAATACTGAGTAGCGAAATGAAATGCATATGTTGAAGCCAGCATCGGCATAAGCTTGTGCTGCTGCGATTGATAATCGAGAATGCTAACTTCAGGTTGTTCCGCAGGACCGAATTGCTGGCGTAGTAACGAGTACCGGACCGCTATAGTGACCGAAACCTTGAGGAAACCAACTGAAGAATATGCAAGGCCAACCCTCCCACCTACTAGCTCACCTAACATAGCAGCGAAACGTTTGTTTATAGTAGGGAGGCTACTTGTGTACTTTCCATCTCGAGAAACATCACCGAATCGGTTAAGAAGATTATCTCGGGGGATTCGAACCGAATGGAACCGCAGCGCTCCGTTATCGACCCCATTCAAGCCGATTTTGTGGCCGCAATCTTGGATTTTGATTCCAGGTGAGTTTCTAAATCCCGTATCGGAACAATGAAGGCATGTACTCCCATGTCGGAAACCTTTTTAGAGTCGTGAGTTGGTAAGATGAGATTAGCGAAAACGGACGCGAACTTGCCGTGAACCGCAGCATTGCCGATCCACCATTTGATGGCCCCATCATTCGGCGTGTCGATGATGAATTCATCTGTAATTGGATCAAACGTTGCCGTTGTCTGAAGACCTTGAACATTTGATCCTTTTAAAAATCACAAAAATTGATCGTTTAGTGGTTCATATTATATATATCCGCTCAACTCCATTCCGACCCGAAATCTAATCATCTTTAAATGATGTCGAATAATAAATATAGGGTAAATTATACGTTTAGTAATTAAACTATCAATTTTAATTATTTAAGTATCTAAATTTTTATTTTTTTAATCATACCTAATGTTTAGTTTTTGTTTCATTTTAGTACACATTCAGAATTTAAGGTTAAGCTTAAAAAAATGAAGTTTAGGTACTAAAACTAGGAATTCAAATTGCGATCGCATTTTCGATTGCGTCGCGTTTATCGCAATTGTGGACATAGCGAGCACTATTACGGTAATTCTGGGTATCACGCGGTCATACAATAACAGTCGCGGAGGGCATCGCTTCCGCCAATGTTGGATGCAAAGCATACCTATAGTGAGCACGTGCTCACCCTAGAATATGAATTTCTCTATATTAATTGTCCATTTTATTATGGGTAACCACCCTAAAATTTTATTTGTACCTACCGTATAGAAACTTTTTCAATAATTAATGTGTGTGACCACCTTAAAAATTTTTTTTGGATCCGTCACTGACTATTGCTTTATAAAGGTCACTATGACAGTCGTAGACCGATATTTAAATCCCTAACTAAAAACAAACCAATATTAATAATTTAAATACTAAACACGTTAAATTTTTAATGATGAGTATTAAAATGAAATAAAAATTAAACGTTATGTATAACTTAAAATAAAAATAAAAAATTAAATACTAAAATATATAAAAACTTATAATTTAAATACTAAAACTCATAATTTACCTACAAATATACTAGTGTTTCTTACGTAAGCAAAAGTGTTCCTTTGAAGAAGAACAAATATAATATGGCAAATTATCCAAAAAAAATGGCAGCTTTTTCAAAAAATATATATATATAATATGCAGCACCATTGACAATGAACAGAGCAGACGATTTTTTATTTTGGATTTTTTTCAATAGGTACCGCAAATTGACTTTAATTATATTTCATCATTATCTTATCCCAAACCGACAATCAAAATCAACACGCGGTCTGAACGCAGACATGTCTATGCTGGTTTAAGTCCTGGAAAAACAGAGAACTTACCATGGTGCAGTTCTGTCATGGCGAAACACCCAGGATAATCCACATTGTCGATCCCATCAAAATACTTATCCCTATGCTTTTTAGTTCCCAAGTTCAGTACTGAACCTCCCCAAAGACTGCATAATTTTAACCATTCAAAGTCAACTTACTAGCACCATGTTCTTGTTCATCCATAAACCCAGTTTCCAAAACTCAAAAAAATCAACCAAGATTCAAACTTTAAAACCAAGAGAGGTTGAAAAGCAAGTATAATAATTTACCTAAACTGGACGCCGAGTTTGATCCCAAGAGATACATCAATACTCCCAACAGCTTCAGTAATGGCGAAATACTTAGCTGGATCGTCAACAACGTGTCTAAAAGGTTTGATCTTTGCTTCTCTGACCAAAGCAACAAGCTGTCTCATGCAAAGCTCCCTGTGTTCCTTCATTAGTATCCCCACCGGGGTTTGCAAATCGGGCCTCAACTCAAAGAACTCATGATTTTCTCTTGTGTTTCCCTGTTTTTCCTCTCATGTAGTTCTTCAGAGAGGCTTTGTTGACCTAGAGTTTATTGGTCGACTTGGCGCACGTTAGTATGTTGAGTTGGGGTGAAGGTTGGTGTAGATATTTGTTTTTATTAATTTAATCTTAATTAAAAATTTACGTCTACCAACATTTATATATTTTACCTTTTCTAAATTATGATTAATATAAAATTAAATGTCTAAATTATATTTAAAATTAATTTTTGATGTTTAAAATTTTTTTTATTTAAAATAAGTGTATAACGTTTCTTCCATTACATTTTTAGGTGTATACTGTTAATAAAAACGTAAGTGACATGTGTCACGTTTATATTTTCGTATTCTTAAGTAAATATTTTTTAAAATTATTTTTAAAAAATTTGAACGTGACACTGTACTTAAGAGATTTTTTAACAGTAGACACCTAAAAATATAACGAGAAAAATAATAAATATTTATTTTTAACGAAAAATTCTTTATATATAAAAAAAGATAATTTTAAGTATGGTTTAGACAAATTATTTTGTATTAAACCTTTAAATTATACTTCCATTGATTTGATGCGGCTCAACTTGTAACAGCAGTTGAGGAAAATAGTGTTTAGAGGGTTAAGACTAGGGTTTCATTCTTCAACCTTCAAATCTCAGATGGACCATTTGTGCTTTAGCTCTATGTTTTGTTTTAAGACTTGCAAGTCTTAAATGTTTAACTTTCAAACTAGTGAGGTTTATATGATCGATTTTTTTTCATTTAGATTAAATCGAACTCAAATAGAATTAAAATTAAATTATCATTCATAAATATGATGCGATATAATTGGGTTCATAAAACATTTTATCACTGTAATTTTTTTTAGCAATCTGTAAATTTCTATCTAGATTATAATTGAGTTTTAGGTATGTCCTGACCCTTTATTGGAAGAATTGCTAAACTTTATTTTGTAAAAAAAAATACAGTGGGTTCATAAAAAAATTTCTTATAATATGATTACAACAAACTTTAGTCCTAATTTAAGTAGGTATAAAAGAGTTGGACCTTTATTTAATCAAGTTTAAACCTTATGTATGTATGCAGATTTTAAAGGATAGATTTTTATTTAATCACTTTAAAATGATTGATAAGGTGATAGGAGAAAACTTTACCTAGTTTGGGTGGAACAGGTTTTTGATCCATGAACAATGAGATGCAGGGGATCCGAGACAGATGATGCTGAACTGTCAGATTGCACCTTGATGGCACTGAGATACCATGAGTTGGCAGATCAGCGTAAAGGCGGGAATTGATTGTGATATTTTCTCATTGGGGCCGTTTTGAGTGTGTTTCAGTCTTTTGGTCATAACTTTGGCTACGGGTGTCAGAATCGCGCATAAGACCCCAATCCGGAAAGCTCTTTTCGACGCGCAAGCTGTCCATGTGGCTTTTTTTCGACCTCAAATTCTACCGTTTTCCCCTCCGAATCACTAGATTTAGATATTTTTTACTATTTATGGTAATATTTCGATTGTCAGTTAGGAAGTCATTTTAAATCCGATTTCGGCCGGATTTTTTTCAGATTGCTTATTTTATTTTGAATTTCAATTTAGAGTGATTTTCGGGATTTTTCTATTTTTGGTAAAATTCCGATAAACAAGATTTTTGACTATAACAGTCCGGCTTGTGGACTGATTTTGGATATTTTTGATTTTATAATATTTTATTAAACCCTAGAGACTTTTTTTCTTTGGTTTTTAGGCGATTTTTTTCTTGTGAATCATCTGTTGGAATTAGCCTACGGGATAATCGTTATTCTGTCTGGCGTCACAATGGCACTTAGAAATTGGGGAATTAGCTCAGTTGGGTCTCAAAATATTTATATATAAAAGCAATACCTCGAACAATTAGACAAAAAGATTTGAATTTAAAACTAATAATGCTAATAATCTACAATAATTTAAAACGAATCAACCCCATAGGACGTGTATGTGCACATAGGAAGCCAAGGGAACATTAAGTAAATCGTTTAAATCTGCACACATAGAATCAAATTGTTTCATTCCAAGTACCAAAATTTCCCACTGAAATTCCTCACGAATAACAAAAGCAACTTTTCGTTCCATCTTAGGACAACCTTTTTTTTAACCTTAACATTAGCTCGCTTTGTCCCTTAGCTTATATGCCTTTAAGCTTGCTTTTTCTCTTCCTTTTCTCCATGTCTTTGATGTTCGTACTCGACATTCTTGTCTTCATACCACTCCACCACGTTGTTTCTTGAGCTGCATTTGAGCTTCCAACAATCCCCTTTTCACCTCCTCGTTGTTAGGTGTTTCTCTCAGCAAGATCGTGTAGTCTTGTATTGAAGCTTCCCATTTCTTCAACTGTTACAATTATTTCAACTTGCATGAATTACTTCAACGATTAATCGTAGAAAAAATGTGTTGCAAGATGTTAAGAGTGTGACCTTGGAATTACAATCCGCTCGTCGTAGTCTAGCCTTGGTGTAGCCTGCGCGCAGGTGGAGGGCATGGGTGCAGTCGTCTACTGCCTTTTCGAAATGACCGAGCTTGGACCAACAAGCGGCTCGGTTGCACAGCAAGATGGAGTTGTGGGGATCATGGTCCAGCCCTTCCACGTATGCGGCGCATGCTTCCGGGAATTTCGATGCCTTGAAATGCTCGTTGCCGTTGGATCGAGCAAACGCCACCGCCCTCGCCTTTCTCATTACGGAACTCGCTTCTTTGTTGTTCGGGTCAAGCTTGACGGCTCGTTGAATCGCCTCCAATGCTTCATCAAATCTTCAAACCCATCACAAACAACAAAAACATTATTATTTTCTTAACAAACAATGTCAAAGTCCACCTCAATGAAAAAAGAACAAAGAATTATTCTTTTTAAAAAAAGAAATAACAAGTGGGAAAGTTGGTGCCTTGTCATAGCATGCAGAACAATTAACACAAAACCCAATCATTTTCGTGCAAATTTCGCCCCCATTGAGTAGGTATAGATTAAATTTTGCCCACCGTCCTTTACCCCTCTTTTTGTTTCCTCTTTTTCCAACAAAAGTTCTACTTTTGAGTTGTATTACAACATTAATTAAGCTTAGTTAGGATCACAAACTCCCCCACATTTCCTTATTATCCTATCTCTGGATCAACCTCAATAGTAACAAGGGAATATTATTCTCTTTAAAAGATTTATATTTGAATAATTATATCTATAAATTGTGTTATTAAATGATTAAAAAATTGAACAAATATTACCCTAATCATCCAGACTAATAAAATATATTTTTCTCTTATAAAAAAATGTTAAATTCAAGAAAAACACCGACCTGCCGGCAGCCATATCCACCTGAGCTCGAACAACCAGCAAATTAGCATTACCAATAGGGCCGTAGTATTTATTCAAGTCGTCGACCTCGAAATTCGGACCTCCCAATAATGTTTCATCGGCATCTTCGTGTCTATGGAGCTTCAACAGGGCCTCAGCTTTCAATGCAAATATCTTAACAAAACAAAGAAAACCCAAACTTTATATATTTTCATACAACATATCATAATATTACTAAATTTTGATGAGATTTACGTACCTGTGGAGCTGAATCTGCACCACCATTAATGGCCGAATCTGTTTCTTTTACCAGACTGTCCCAATCCCGTCGCCTTTTAGCTTCAGTACATTTGTTCAAATGTGCCTGAACATTTCTAGCTTTAGCAATGTCGTCTTTATCTGCTTCAAGGTCGGCGTGCTGGTAGTGATATATAGCCTTCTCCACATCCCCTAACCTATACAATCACATATAATCATATATATTTTTAATACTGAGTTGAATGTATATAAAACTGAGTTGAATATAGATGAAAACCTGAGATATAAGTTAGCTAAACGGTGGTGAGCTCTGTGATAATGAGGCTCGATAATAATGGCTTCCCTGCACTCGAAAACTGCCTCGACGAGCCTTCCCAAAGCCGCTAAAGCTGCACTTTTGTTGCTTCGATATGCAGCTTTGTTGGGATCAATGGCAATGGCTGCATCGTACAAAGCTAAAGCCTCTGCGAAATTGCCGTTCTTGTAATCTTCGTTGCCCATGAATTTCAACGTTTCGGGATCCATTCTCGTCGAGAGAGCTCGACAAAGTGAAGCCGATTTCTTTTCTTCGACCGGCTTCTTGACCACGTTTCCCATCACGGTGTTGGGGTATAATTTCCCATTAGGTTTCGAAACATCGTCGACTTTCGCATTAATTGTGTTCGTGTTCCCTGGTTGCCTCAAGTTGCCTAGGTTCCCGTAAATCATTCCTCTTGTTTTCTGATGATCGGCGATCATGCCCTCGAGCTCGCCAGATAAGCTAATGGATTCTTTCGGCACTTTCCGATTGATGTTGCCGTTGACGATGCCGTGTCCTTGTGTACCCGTGGTCGTTGTTCTTGTCGGTTCTTCAACATGCTTCCGGACCGGGTTCTGCTGGTACACCGCCGTGACCTTCGGAGTCAGTTTCGTGATGGGTTTTTGTGGCCGACCTTCTGGTCCGAAGAACGCCGCCTCATCGGAACCGCTTCGCCGGCGCTCTGTGTATGTGTTCGATGTGTTGACGTTGCTTTTGTTGTCTTCCTTTATAATATGCAATGAACCCGTTGAAGTCGATCTTCTAGGCCACAAACCATGCTTTCCGAACACCGCACTGAATATCCCGCAACCGGATTTCTTCACCGGCGAACACTCCGCCATTTGTTTTTGCTTGTCAAGCTTTTTTCCCCTTCACGATCAAAAATGGTGGATTTCAAGCAATTATGTAACCAAAACGTGGGTGTCTTTCAACATGAAATGTAAAACAAACACACCGAACAGAGATCATGTCGATCTTCCCTTTCTTTTGTCTTAAAAGATGGCACGAAACAAAACGATTAAGATTAGAAAAACAAAGAAAACAGAGTCATGATTCACAGTTGTTTTGTATGAAAACTCCAAAAATTTTCAATTTTCAAGTTCATATGATAGCTGGAGAAACGGTCCATGATTAAACGAGGATCTCTAAAATTTTAGAAAAAATAAATAAATTTTTGTTGTAGATTGTAAAAGACAGCCTATATAATCTAACTCATGAACAAATTATTGGAGAAATCAAAGAGAGGAGGGCACGTCTTTAGCCTCATATTCACAATTAAGGGTTGGTTGGGATTTTTATTTTTATTTGGTGAAATCTATTAGTTTATAAATCTAATATAAATGTTAACCACATTATCTATTTATATATCCACTTTATATATTCACGTTTGTACACAGTATTGTTTTGGGGATTATACTCGATAAATAATAATAACAACAAAATAAAGTTTTTTTTTATTAAATTTAAAAAAATCATATTATTTGTAGATATGTGTACATAACATTTTTGTTCAATGATGAAGAAGGAAAATAGAGAAATGTGTTTAAAGATATCAAATTCAAAAGGAATCCTGGACCTTTATATTTTTTAATGTTTTCTTATTATTTCTTTTAATTGAATGCAGTTAGATATAAGCTTAATATAAAAATAAGTATTAAAACTATATTTTTTTCTATTTTGGTTTCTATACTATTTTTCGGTTAATTTAGGTGTTTAACGTTTCTAATGTTATACTTTTAGATGCATCGTTAAATTTTATCGTTAAATAACATGTTTCGCCTTTATAAAATTTTAATATTTTATATTTAAAAAATTCAGAATTATCTGAGCATGAAATTTAACGTCCATTACTATCGATGTACCTAAAAATGTAACGTTAGAAACGTTAAACACCTAAATTGACCAAAAAAATTAAACACCTAAATAAAAAAATAAAAAAAAATAAACACTTATTTTTATATTAAGCGTGTATCTAATTATATTGTTTCTTTTAACGAGAATGATTAAAAGCAACCTGCCAATTAGATATCACCTTAGTTGTATAAAACAACTAAATTCAGTCACGCGGATCCAGGAAAAAAAATTGGGTGATTGAGCATTAATTGTCAAATGATTGAGAATATTTAAAATATATATTATTTTGTAATCACATTAGCTTAATAAAATAATGATATATTATATAAAATCGAAGATAAAATTAACAAATTTAGAGAATATTCCTTTTGAGCTTTTACTTGATCTAAACTAATTGATTTATAAATCGAATAATGATAGTTATACTTTATATATAATCATTTGTTAAAATAATTCTTATAAATATATTTTTTTATATAGAATGCTTATATTTATCTATCTCGTAAGTATGAGAAAATTTAATAATTGATACTAATGGCTTAGCTGGGCTAATTTATGTAACAAGACCCACACATATATTTGTTGAAAGACCACCTATGAATTTCAGCTCACTTTCCACTAAGAGACACGAACTTGGCCATAGTGTGTCTTGTTCGATTACCTAGTGGACAGTTAAGACGGAGATATAATTTTATGTTAAAGAGATAAATTTATATGAATGTATGCATAAGAGAAATTATCTTTTATGCAATGATAGAGGGGAAAATCCTACAGTTAGATTATCATGTTATCATGTGTTTTTTAATTATATTTAAATAGAATTATGATCACGGCATCGTTATTAAGAAAATCATAAGTTAATCTAACATAGTAATGAGTTTCATTTTTAATTTTTTCAGTTCTTAGATTTATTAGGATATTCGTCATAATTCTACCACTACATGATAACATTTTTTCTTCATTTATAATGTCTCAAATCATTGTTATTTTAAAAACAAACGAGTTAAATAGTATTTTAATCACATAAATTTTATATCATTATCACTTTGATACTTAGAGATTTTTTTCATTTATTTTGACCCTTGAACTTTCTTTTCGTGAAGTATGTTTTTCCCTCCATTCTTTAACCATAAAAAATCATGTGGTATTCTACTAGTGTGTTACATGACACATAATATTTTAAAAAATGAAATATTTTTGAAAAAACAATAAAAAGAAAAGTAAAAAAGAAGAATCAAATTTTGAAAAATTGAGTTTTTTGATTTTTGAGACATTTATTAATTTTTTTGAGTTTAATATATATCATGTTTCATGTGATTTTTTTAAGAGGGATAAATACAAAACAATATTTATTTAAAGATAACTTTCAATCATTTAACGTTGAGTGTTCACACCTCTGTCATTTTTTATGCGCTCAAGTTAAAATTCACGAGGAAGGAGATCAATAGTCGGATCGTCAAGCTGCTACACTGGTCAAACCTTAAAGTTAATGGCGGATCTAAAAAAAACTCAGAATGGGCCACATATATATTAATCACGTAATGTTTTATAATGTTCTATTTAGTTATAATAATATGTAAACAAATTTATAATTACATAACGTTTTAGTATAACCGTATCTTTCAAATTTAATTTGTGCGATTGGGGTTGGAAGAGTTTACGGTAAATTGGTGAAGGGATTCCAATGCTTGGCTGTTCACCATTTCCATATTAAATCATATGATCAATCTTTTCGAAATGACAGCTCATAGCCATCATCAATCTTTTAAATTTTGGGGTCTTTTTAAATTAATCAATGATACAATCTGTTCACTGATTAATTTATATAAGATATTATAAATGTAAGTACGAATCTCTCAATTCAAATTACTTCATTCGTATGTGTAAAGGCCTAAATTTTTTATTTCTCTTAAGAGATCTAATATCTTATTTAACTAAACCAACCGGTTATTGGTAAATTTAAGTGTTCTTTGCCCCCAACAAAAACATTTATTATTTATCTACGTAACGTTAATCTAATTAGTATTGTTACATTTATAATATTTACAAAGATATGAGTTTAATTGTACTTAAACGTAATTAACTTTAATTCAAAGATCCGGGGATCATGAATATTATCTTGATTTAATAGTTATACATCATTAACTTTTGGTGTAGATGGGGCATATATACTGTTTGTATAAATCCCAATTTGTATTTTTAATTAGATTCTTTTTTTTTTTTGCATGAAACATTTGTTTTTTATTTTATTAATAACTTTTTTAGGGTATAAAATTAACTTAAGGAAAAATAAAATTTGAATCAATAAATATTGATCTGATTTTCTGGAAACATGTTATGCTTTTGCAAGTCATAGGAACATTATTTAAAAGTTGAAGCAAAGCAAAATAATTAGGGATCGCAACGGGTCGGATTTTTGGTCAATCTGATCTGACCCGAAAATATGCACCCTCCATCCGAATCTTATCTGATTTTAAAATTTTTTATCCTACATCTGATCTGACCCAACCCGAAAATATATATCTTATTATCATCCACTCGACTATGATCCAATCCGATTTTTAGAGTATCAATCCGACCTGATCCGGCATAAATTAAGGCTTTAATTAAAAATAATAAAATTTTTAAGGTAATTATATTATTATCCTCTGGTCCGGTCGGAATTTTTTCACCATCCACCCGAATCTGAAATTTAAAAAATATATCCAGCCTGATCAAGTCGGAACCTTCGAATGATAACAATTATTCAAATATTATGAATGATCCACTTCTTGAAGTATTCTTGATTTCCTACGTACAAAGATGGATCCTTTAGAGATAACAGCTAAAAGAAAGAGACAAAATATTGATTTTTCAAGCAAAACCTATATCAACTTAAGCGTTTAATTTTTTTTTAAATCATGCTTATTTTATCAAAATATTAATAAAGGATATTATAATTAGGTATCATGTACAATTAGGTTTTTTTTAAATATCGGGTTTGAGTCGGGTCGTGTTTTCTTAAGGGTATGTTCGATTCAATTCGAGCTTAGGGTGAAAAATACTCGATCCGACCCAGGAAAAATTATAATTTTACTTTATATATTTAGGGATAATTATAATAATACCCAATATATTATTTTCTTTCAATTAAATCCCATTTTTATTGTATAAAAATAATATTTTTAATAAATATATTATTTTGGGTCGGGTCTAGTACATATTTTATCTCAAAAAATCGGGTTGGGTCGAGTGGAAGTTGTATATTTTTTGGGTCAGATTCGGATCGAGTGGAGGATTTATAATTTTCGGGTTGAGTTGGGTGGACTAAAAATCTGACCCGACCTGACCCATGCTCATCCCTATGTAGAAGTAGTTAAAATTTTAATATATTATAATCAAGTTTATTTAACTAAAGATTTGATTAAATATTTTTTAATAATATGAAGTGATTATAAAATAATATATATTTAGAATTTTTTTAATCTATTGACAACGTGTGTACACCTTCTATACATTACTACTTAAATCAAGAATCTTTAAAATAACTTTTTTTCTTTTATTACAGGATCTCTTGATGGGTTCGATTAAATATTAAATATATTAATAAGTCACATTACACTAAAAAAAGTGCATGCTATAATCTTAAAGATTACACTGTTGAGAGAGAATAAACAAATAAAATTTAACGTTGGATGAAAGTATCCATTACTTTTTACCATAACTTTAGAGGGATGAATGAGAAAAAAAATCATTTATAATTTTTAAAAAATGGTTCTAATTATTTTAAAATTAAATTTAGCACTATTTATTTATTAATGTAATTAAGAATTATACTCATAAAAATAAAAAAATATTATTAAATAGTAAGTAAAACCTTATATCATTAAACCAAATCGAATGGACCACAATATATCCGGGTCGGATCAAAAGAAAGCAGATCCAGACCAACCTCTTTTCCTTTATATATATAATATTATATTTTGACATTTAATAGATATTTTAATGTTTATGTTTTTTAAGTTTATCACTTATTGTGAATGTATAATTTTATTTTATTTCACTATTTAGATAAACATGCATGCATATGTTATGAATATATATATATATATATGCAGAAATTAAAATAAATATTTTAATCAACTAAAATAATTATTTTTTGATGAATAATGAATGAGCATCAAGCTAAATTTAATATAAAAATCTCCAAAATAATTAAATAATTGTTTTTGGGATAGATTCACCTTGACCCATGTTTTGAAGTCTAAAATGGTACTCTAATTATAGGATATTATTTTATTGAGTCATTTGATTATTAAAAGTTATAAAATACTCATCTGATTATAGGTCATTGCTTTATTTTATTGAGTCTTTCGACTATTAAAAGTTACAAAATTGTTACTCGACTATTTATATATTCCCAACTCATACTTTTTTGTTAAAATATTTATGATAGTTTGAGTTGGACGTTAATCTACTGCCTGCGATATGATAAATTTGATCTAAATATTTCAAACGACTATTATATCTCAATCAACATGTTAATGTCTAACTCAATTTGCCATATAATTTTTAACGAAAAATGACGAGTTTAGAACATATGAATAGTCAATGGACCATTCTATAATTTTTAATCGCTAGTGAACTCATCAAAGTAATACCCTGTAATTAGATAATCCTTTTGTACTTTTTAATAGTTAGGGACTTAAAAATAATATTTTATATTCTTAGATCGTTAATGTAATTTACCCTGACCATTCTTTGAGTAATCTAATTACTTCTATTTTTAAATATTAATTAGGGGCACCTAACCATTTCTTCACATTACAATATATATTCTTTAAAAAAAAGGATAATATAATATTGTTTTATGGTTACAGCAAACAAAAGGTATGTTGTTCACCGATCTATCCATCTTTCTTGGTATATTAGTTTTCCATATTTTATGGTTAAACCGTAACATTTTATATTAATTTTAATTTATTAATAATTTAATAAATAGAATTTTACACATGACAGTTTTTACTTTTTAATGCCTTCTTTGAGCCAATTTTGTAACATGATATTATGTCAATTTATTTATCTGTTTTCCTTTGAAAATTAATCCCTGACCTAGTCAAAGACTGGCAAAAAAAACTTTTAATATTTTTCTATGTTTTATTTAGTTGTTGGTTATACCAAATAATAAGTAAATAAATAGATAGAAACACTATACTTACTTTTCCCCTACCATTAAACCTAAGTTACCTGACCATTTAAGCATTATAAAATTTTAAACAATTTATTATAATTTTATGGATTTTAAAAAATTATGGGTGAAAATTACTTTTTTTTTAAATATGAAAAATGAATTAAATATATTTTAAAAATAATCCGTCAAACAAATTATTCTCCCTAAAATTTTAAAAATACAATATAATTTACTAAAAAGCAGTAATAATTGAAAAAAAATATTTTGATTTTGCAAATAAGGATAATAATGAAAAAAACACAACTCAGATATACTTTGACCAGTTGCTTTCATTTTCATCTCTTACACACAAATGTCAATCCCACGCCATCATCTGATCCTTTATTTTTAGTGAATCCAGAAGCAGCAGATTAGCTGAACCAAACATCTCTTTAATGTAAACACAGAATATTTCTTTTAAAAAACATACTTTCCCTTAACCCTCAAGCCTAAAATCCAAAAGATTCAGCTTTGGCCATTGATAATCCCTGAGCTCTTTTCTTATCATCTTTTGAAGATTAGAGCTTTAAAGACATCATATTTATGGCTACTTTCTGCTGATTTTTGAGATAGCGTTTCTTCCAGAAGATCTCTCTCTCCCTCTCTTTTTTCTCTTTACATCGTTTTATTATTACCTCATGCTTGGCTTTGTGTTCTGTGTTTTGTTTTGTTGTGTTTTAGTATGGTGGAGTAAGCAGAATAATCTCTTGTCGGAAACAATCTTTGTTCTTTTTTCTTTTTTCTTTTAATGGATTCTGGTAATAGTGGTAGTTTGCAATCTTCAAGTGGTGGCAGTGAAGAGTTTGACTCACGCGTTGAGTCTGTCTCAGCTTTTTTGAGCCATACCGGTCATGGTCATGGCCAACCGCCGCCGCCTCCGTTACCGGTGGTACAGGATTATTCTCCGTCGACCATGTTCGACCCTTTATCGTTCTTGGATAATCGATCACTGCAACTTTCGGCAACAGCAACGGCGAATCCAAGCTCGGCCCTTGATGTGATTTGGTCCAAAAATCTAAGATCTGAGCCCAATTGCACTTATCTCAGTGCGTTCATGGCTTCCTCATCGGCGGCACAGGCGACTCAACAGCTGTTCACCAACCAACAACCACAAAGTGAAACCAATTTTCCATCGTTGCAGCCGGTTCCACAACGACAAGACAGTTCGGTTTTCGACATAAATGGCGGCCAAACCAACAACAAGAGCAATATGGTGCGGAATCCAAAGAAGAGATCAAGAGCTTCCGGGCGTGCACCGACGACTGTTCTGACCACAGACACCACCAATTTCCGTGCCATGGTTCAAGAGTTCACCGGAATCCCAGCATCACCGTTCCCCTCCTCACCTTTTCCGAGACTCGATCTCTTCGGTCCACTGTCTTCCACTTTGAGATCAAACCATTTAGACCCTCCTCATTATCTTTTAAGACCATTTGCTCAAAAAATCACACCTCCACCTTTCCTTAGCTCATCAATGGCTGACGCTATAGTTTCTAATCCTAGTACCAACAACAACAACATTAGTTCTTCTTCAACTTTCATTAACTACCAACTACCGACCGAGTTAGGCCATTTAAAGCAGCCTCAGAATCTACTCAACATCAACATGCAAAACCCAATTCTCAACCTTCAATCTCTCCTTCAAACCCCTCCAAAATACCCGTTTTCCGGTTCGAACATGGATGTTCCACCAACTGAGTCGACTCTCAAAATGAGTGATTTAGATGAGTTTGGCTCGAGCAAGGAGGGGCTTCAAAACATGGTATCTTCACGAGAACGTGATGATCGGAATCTCCTATGGTCCATCAATGGCGGCTATGACGGTGACGACCGGAGAGTCTCGAATGGGAAAGCGAGCAACTTGTCGTTGTCATTTTCGCCGGATTTTCGTGCCGATAAAGAGCTGGAACACGTGGGTAATTCCAGAAGTGAAGGTATGGTGGAATCATGGATATGTTCCTCAGATTAGAAGTATCTAATTTCATTAAAAAAGAAGAAGAAGAAGCTTTCATAACTGAAAAATCTGAACAAATAATATGAAGGGCATGATCAGGGTGAATATTTTTCACAATGATGCATGAAAGAGATGGAATCTTTATTGTTTTCTGTCATATTATTAACCATGAAATAGTTAAAAGTTCAACTATATTTTGCATTTTTAATTCTATGGATATGTAAATAATCATTTAATTAGCTTAATGTTTTTGTTATTTTTTTGTTTTATTTTAAAATATTTTAAAAAATAAAAATGGAAATTAAGAGTAAAAAGTGTCTAAAACTATAAAATCTTGAGATATATAAAAAAATGGAAACTTGAAATAAGACAAAAAAATATAATATATTTATTTTAAATTTGGGGTTTGAAATTGATGGGTATTTTAAGGAGCAGAATGTGAATGTGAATGTGAATGTAAATTGAATAACGAAACCATGAAAATCTGTGCTCCTTTCTCTTTGTAAAATCATTTAGGTTTTATTTTATGTCAACTTTTGTGTTTTATTTCAAGGAACACGATTTGTGACAGTTTCAAGTTGGTGTAAACGTTAATTGGAGCATAAGAAGATTTTTGAAATTACAGACAGAAATTTCTCCAATTATTTCAGTAGATCCTATGCAAACAATGGACATATGGGACCTGATCCGATTCAAAGAACAGAAAGTAATTTGGCACAAATTAATTTGGTTCCCATTACACATTCCATAGTTAAGTTTGATTACCTGGATGATAATACTCAACCGGTTGCCAACTAGAGACCAACTCAATACAATGAAAATTTGCACTGATATCCACTGTGTAAACTGCGGCACTAATATGGAGTCAAGGGACCACCTCTTCATGCAATGCCCACTGGCAGCAGCTCTCTAGAATGCCATTCTGAAGCTTAATGGGATGAATTCATCTTCCATGACATAGGTTGAAATGGTTTCAAAGGCTTCTTCTACATGGAAATGAAGGTCACTCCTTACCACCATTTTGAAAATTTCTTGGACTGCATTTCTTTACTTCATCTGGCAGGAAAGAAATCAAAGAATCTTCTTGGGACGTCATAGAACGGTGGAATGCTTGCTCAAAGAAGTTAAAGACGATGTTGGGATCCGTCTCAAGGTACTAATATTAATAGACTTGATAGTACTAATCTTAAGCTTTGTGATGTTTGGGATATAGTCTAACCAATCTTTTTTGTATAGGTCGATTTCTTTTGATTTTTGACCGTTGATTGGTTGTACTTAAACTTTACTTTGGGTAATAAAATTTTGATTTATCAAAAAAAAAAATCGATCTGGTTGTACACCTATTTTTTGTGAGTGAATCTTTCAGTGAAAATTTTTTTATACTCAAACTCGAAACGTACTTAAAACAATCTAAATTTACTTACAACTTAAATCAACTCAATTGGTTGATGAAATAATTTTATTTGTATGAATAAGTACCTTGATTTTAAAATTTAATAGCAAGAGAGATTATTCTAAATTTTATTTTTAATCATTACGGTGCTGACGTGATTATTCACAGTATTAACATAACAATCTACGATAATTGATAACATATCAGACGAACTAAATTAATAACTTAAATATGATAAATAAACTACCATATCAATAACATAAATTATCACGCCAGCATAATACTAACGTGCAAATCCCGAAAAAAATAGTTGGGAAAATATGATTGAATGAAAGGGTGTTATATATAAAAAGTTGGTAATCTTTTTCCTCTTATTGATTGTTGCATTATTCTTTTTCTTACTTTCAATAATACTCACTTTCACACTAATGGTTTAAATTTTGAAGGATGATCAGTGCGTTTTGGTTTCAAAATTGTTTTTTTATCTTTTAGAACAGTTTTGCCCTTAATAGGGAAAATTACGTGTTTAATACCTAAGTTATCAGTTTTGGTCTATTTTAGTATATAAACTTTCATTTATTTCAAAATTATACTTAATGTTTAGTTTTTGTTTCATTTTAATACATTACCGTTAAAAAATCAATGAAACTGCATTTTTATGGGTAAATTACACCATTCACCACTCAACTATAATGATTAAATTATGAGTAATTTAAAAGTCAAGTAATTAAATTAAAAAAAAATAAACTTTAGTGACTAAAATAGGAGTGAAAAGATAATTGAGTGATTAATGATGCAATTTACCCATAGCAGGTAACACGTGTTGATCACTCGTTAAGTTTTTAGTGACGATGTACTAAAATGAAACAAAAACTAGACATCAGGCATGGCTTAAACTTGAATTGATAATTAAGTTTTTATATTCTTCAATGTTCAATTTGATACTTGAATTGTGTAGTTCAATTAGATGCTTAAACTTGAAATTTTTGTTCAAATTAATATCTAGACTTGGCTTTTTGGTTCTTATAAGTTAAAAATCACAAGTACCAAATTGAACAAAAAACAAGTTAACGTACCAAATTAATGTCTTTCCTTGTAAAATTAACATATAAAGTAATACATTAAAGTTATGATCCTTGTATAATAAATGAATTATTTTTCTAACACTTAAAAGAGAGAAGTCGCAGTCTCAGAAATATTATTGTGTTAATTTGAAATATCAAAATCAAAAGATTCAAAGATTTCAACATATCGACATATTCAAGTACAATTCTATATTTTGTTTAATTTTTGATGATATTATATAACAAATAGGGGCAAAGCTAGAATATCAGTTTAAAAGAGATAAATTATAATTAACCATAAAAATGAGGATAGAATACAATTAACCATAGAAAATAAGAGACAAAATCAAAATAAACGAAAACTATGAGGTTTAATTTGATATATTACCCATACAAAAAATGAGGGAGGGCTGTGGCCCTATGCTTCATCCTTGATGACAGGTCCAATATTATTTAGTTTTATAAAAGATTTTTGCGGTTTTAACAATTAAATCTTTACATCCAAACTGTAGGATTAAAATTTACAATTGTAAACACATATGGATAATGTATGATATTATTATAAATTATTATTTAAAATAAAGTAAATATATCTTCTTAGAATATTTCAATTACCTTCTAGATGGTCTCCTTCGATGGATTCATATACCACATCAAATAATAATATAATATAATTAAATGTAGTAAATAATTAATAGAACGGATTGTTAATTTTTATTTAATTAATATAGTGATCGTTTTAATTCATTATTTCATATTAGTACTATTGTTTTATCTTTAATCATTCTCTAATAAATTTTATATCGATGTTTAGCAACATTAATTTAAAAGTAATGTTAAAGGAAGAAACTTGAGAGAGGGTTAATTAATTAATTTAGAGCTAAAGGACTTGAATTTGTAGGCGTGCCATGTCTACTTAGGCAGATAGACTAGGGCTCAATAAACATTATATATATATATACACACGTATTATACACTTAATTCTTTAGACTTTTCCATATTAGTCGGTCATTTTAATTATTAGACATCACACATAATTTCAACATGTTCAATGTGCCCAGGAACTAGTAGCAACGTAGGAACACTGGTTGGTACCTTATGTCCCAAGTCTCAAAGCGAGATTATTATTTTAATTGATAATTATTTTTATTAAGATTTAATCATAAAATATTTTTTTTGACAATTTAAACAATTAAACGTAGGTTCTCTTAGGTTCGGTGGATAGAGCTTAATTAAGCCTACAACACGTTAAGCTTTTGCTATTTGAATAACTTATTCATCTCTTTAAACTCGTTTTTGGCATGGATCATATGGAAATTAATTGCATTTTATTTTTAATTTTTTTATTGGAAATCATTTTAGTGTATTGTTCATTCAATTAATACATAATATATTAATAATCAGAGGCGGAGGGAGGCCTAGACCTACCTAGGCCATGCACCCCAATGCCAAGAAAAAAATAATTTAATAATTTTGTTAAATTTTAATTTTATTTAGGCTTAAATATGTTATTGCCTAGATATATTATTTGTATCGAGTTGTCATTTAAAATATTTTTTGAAACGTTTTGACCCTTAATTTTAAATCGTTATCCCATTTACTACAAATCGTTAATACTATTAAAAAAAATTATTGGCCAATCAGAACATGCCTTTTAATTTTTATTTTCTTTATATAAATAAATTACCCAAAATACACTTCTTCGCCACCCCAACCCCCATCTCCACCGTAACATCACCATCTCTAACAATTTCCCCGCCATTCATTCTGCAAGCTCCAATCAGCACCGGTAACTATAAGCATTTCGGTTGCAGTTTCATCATCATCCCCAACAATGCAAGCACATTAGCAAACTATTCCTCCCTATTTAAAAAAAAAAATCAAACAAATTAAAGAACAATTCACATCCAATTGACAGTAAACATTTGATTTTATTAAAAAAAATCAAACAAATCAAAGAACAATTCACCTCCGATCACCTGATTCTTTCCTTTTTTTTTCTAGGCAACTAAACAATGTTTCCGGAATCTTACTACTAATATTTCATCGATGTTATTTTGCACCCTCCAATGCAAGTACACCACCAATTGAAACAAAATTTTTGATTAATCAATTAGAAACTGACGAGATGAAGAACAACATAACCCAGAAAAAAATCATATTTTTCGAAAGAAAAGAACCATTAGAGATCTAAACTATTCATTCCTTAGTCATTTATTTGCTCCACATTTTCTTACCATCCAAACACTCAGAAAAAGGGTAAAAGAGAAGAATACAAAAGACTTACCATTGAATGACAATAGCAGTGCAAGAAAAGAAAAAAATTCCATAAGGAAACCACTTTGTTTTTTTCTCCAAACCACCACCATGCCGACGAGAACCAAAGTTGTTAACAACCCAAACCACTATTGATGAACTGGAACAAAGCTCCCTCCTTTATCATACATCCCCAAATAAAACAAAATGAAAACCCATAAAGAACAACAATAGTAAAAGAAACCCTTTTCTTTTCATCACCAAAGAGGGAGATATATATTAGGGAAAGAAAGGGTTTGGTGTTCTGTTTCTTGGAGATATGCTGGAGAGAGATGAAGAAAAATGAAGAAAGCAAAAATGGAGGCTTG